ACGAACACTGTAAAATAATTACTTGTTCTCTATTAATTACGTGTTCTCAATTAATATTTCATTTTCTACTTTTGTGTATATACAGGTTTTAATTTGTTATATTCAAACGTATTGAGATATTTGATATTTTACCATTCATATGCATATGCCCTCTCTAATTCAAATTTATTCACACTTATTTTCAATTTTATCAAAACGCGTGGTTCTTGGGATATACGAAGTAAGTGCTAGCTAGTATATCTCCTACGGAGTATTAGATATCTATAGTGTTCTTTATATACATATATACATACATACATATGTGTGTAGTGTACGTGTAGTTATTAAATTGGGAAAACTGTCAAATAGATCCTCGAACTTTCATAAAAAAGTCAATTAAGACCTTCTATAGAAGACTATGTCCGGTTGTCGCGATTTGGGGCGGTTCTCGATGGAATTTTTTGATGAAATTTTTTGAACATCTTATTCACCAAGTCTAGTTTACTCATACCAAATTTGAGCTAAAAATTTAATCGGGAGCGCATTCAAATTAATTCGAGAACGCAAAAATGCGCAGTTATCTTCAAGAATTAATTTAAATGTGTTCCCGATTGAATTTTTAGCTGAAATTTGGTATGAGTAAACTAGACTTGGTGAGTAAGATGCTCAAAAAACTTCATCAAAAAATTCTAACGGGAACTGTCCCAAATCGTGACGGCTAGACAGAACCTCCTATAGAAAGACTTAATTGACCTTTTTATGAAAGTTCGGGGATCTATTTGACAATTTTCCCTATTAAATTTAATTATTATGTAAAGAACTAAGTTTAACTTATGCTGAATCAAGCATTAGTGTTAATAATGACGAAAAAGTTCTCCATATTGACTTTTCTTGATTAATGGTGATGAACATTGGACAATGATTTTAGTAATTATATTTGTATAGAATTTATAAATTTTATACTTTTATGAAATTTTTTTCATAAGAAACATTTTGATATAATTTTCATACTCTAAATAATTTTGTATTAAAAAATATTATTAGTCAAAATTGATTATCATTACCAAGAAAAGTCAATTTGACGAATCTTTTCAGGATGGTGAGAGTATAAAATAGAGAAAATGAATACAAGGAAATGAATATTGTTTAGGAGTAAATACAGTATCTTCCTAGAAAGAACATACGGAGTATGTAGTACTTAAATGAGTATTAACAAACATCAGGCTTTCTTTGTAGCGTATAAAAGATCGATTGAAGTATTAAACTATAAATTTCGTTGAACTTGACTGAAAAGTTTGACATCACAACATTAATCACGTTGACTTACGTTTTTTTGTATAGCTTTTAACAATGCATGCGAGACAATGTCACAATATTAATTAATTACTACATCCCACCATCCAAGAAAAAAATAGTCTTATTTATAATAATATTAATTTTGTTAATATTAAAAACATCAAACATAATTAAGGTACATACAAGGGGAAATTTTCAAATTTTCATAACAAATGACTTGTTCATAGCTTTAGCGGAGTAAAGAAATGGCGTCCGAGAATTATTGCGTGGAATATTAAATTTCACATGCAAGAAGTGAACCCGTTTAGAGCTTTAGGCCCTAGGCCACACGTACGTTGCCATTTGACTATCTTTTTATATTCAGTAGAACATTGGCTAATTTAATTTAGGTAGATTCTATGGTACCCTTAAGATATCATACTTTTGTCCACATGGACCAATCAGAATGATGTAGTTGAATTATTTAAATTTAAATTAATAATGATGAAATGATTTGAACCAATCAAGTGAATGATAGGTACGATACCTCATTTTTTAAATGGGTACCAGAATTGTCACCTTTAATTTATTCACTCATTTTCCAAACATGCCGTAGTAAATTATACCATGCTCTTAGTACGGACAGCATTTTTGTAATTAACTCTAACTTAGAGGTTGATAGTAGTTAGGACCTCTCATTTCTTGTGTTCGTCGTTATGCTGCCGTCCTCTGCAGGTCTTTGTTTTAATTTCGTTTTTATTTTCTTTTGTCTTTTGTTTTCTCACAAGTACTCCCTATGTCCCATAGAATTCTTCCCATTTTTCTTTTTGGGTCGTCCTAAAAAATTCTTTCCACTTACTATTTTTGGACAATTTGTGTGGTTCACATTCATTTCACATTTTTCTTACATAACTACAACCACATATTTCCATTTTATTTCACTTTCTTAATCTCTGTGCCAAGTCAAAGTGGGTAGGATTCTGGGATGGAGGGAGTACGTTTCTAGCTCTGTGCTTTTAGCCTCTTTTACTATTTTGTTTTCTTTGTTTTTCTCTACTTTTTTATTCAAGAAACTTTTGCTTTAATTTTTTATTCATGAAATACCTATTTTGTTTTTTTTTTCTTTTTCAATCAACCTTCTAACTTTTTTTTAATTTGTGGATTATAAAATATTTTAGATATTAATGTTTTATTCTTCTATTTAAATTTAAGATAAGTATTTATTAGTTATTACATATTATGTGTTAATTACTGACATGAGCTTTGTGTTATACTAAAATGAGTATAGTGTAAACTAAATATGCACAAATAAACATTTGAACACATTAGAGAATTCGAACGGGCTTTTGAATTTTGTGATGCTCATTTTGTAAGTTACTTAGGTTCATCTCGTACTGGTTTATGCTCATTTCAAAATGTCATATTAATGCATATTTCAAAACTATAAAATTAGAATCACATAAGAGTTAGATTATATACATGACATCAGAGATCATGATACTCAATAGAGGAGGTTTGATGTTCAATGAAAATGTTTTCATGCTCAACTAACAAAGCTTATTATTTTTATATCATTGCTCATTTGGTAAGTAATGTATGCTTATTTTGTACTGGTATTATGCTTAATTTAAAAGGTTATATCAATGCATATTTCAAAAGTTCCATGTTACATTAGATTCAAGTAAAAGTTGATTATAGATACGAAGGCACATACAATGATACCCAATTGCATATTTGTAATATTCAATAGATGAGGTTTGGTGTTCAATGAAAATGTCTTGATACTCAACTAAAAATACTTATGAGTTTCATATGAATGCTCATTTTGTAAATTACGTACACTCAACTGCTACTCATGTAATGTTAATTTTTAAAATGTCATAACAATGCATATTTCAAAAGTACCATATTACATTAGATTGCATATTGAAATTCATAGAAATTGATTATAGATATAATTTAATGAGTTCTTATAAAAGAAAAAATAAGGAAAAGAAAGTGGATTGCAATATATGAAGTTGATATCACAATACTCATTATTCGGCTCTTAATGCTCTGTAGCATATGTCTAATGCTCATTAAAAGTGTGTTAATGCTCGTCTAAATAAAACCATGATTTTCATTGAAATTATGAAAATGCCACCATTTTTTAGATGTGATATCAACTTTCTTGTAATAACATGGTGCTCATTATTAGACTCTTAATACTCATTAAAATTGGACTATTGCTCATTTACAGTACACTAATGCTCAGTTAACAGTACAAAAATGCCACCGACTGTACAGTGCTCATCGTACAACTGGTTGTACGATGGACGGATTCAAGTTTGATACTACCTCTGTCCCTTAAAACTTTGTCAAAGTTGACCGACACGGAGAACAATAAAGTAAAAACTGTGTGGTTGAGGTTTGTGCAGAGTAGAGAGAAATAACACAAACCACAAAATAATTGATTAAAAGGGAAAGTGATAAAATTTTTTGGGACGTCCCAAACAAGAAAGATAACAATGTTTTAAGGGACGGAGGGAGTATTAAAAAAACTTTTCGGTCAGACATACGGTATCCAATTACAAAATGGGTAGCGTACTTATCATTTAATTGATTGGTTCATAGTATTATATCACTTTTAATTTTCATTTAAATAATTCAATCAAAATATTTTAATTGATCCATTTGAATAAAAGTATAATACTCATAGATTATTATGTTTAGAATATACCTTTTCTAAACATTAGTTTGGTAAACTCAAGGGGGTTATGGATTTTGTAATATAAATTATTGCCCAGCACAACGTAACAGTCTTTGACAAAATTTGTTGCTATCTATAATGTTTTCTTTTGATACTGAAAATAGTTCAAAAGAAAACATCCATACATAATACGGAGTATCCGGCCACTAGTAAGTGCGGGCAGGCCCGAGCCTATACCGGTCTGATTCAAATTCTGAATCGGATGTTTAAGGGTAGAGATAGGGTCTAGGGAGGAACCGAAATCATAACCATGCATGAAAACATGTACTAGTTCTAGGCCTCCGGTTTTGTACCGCACCGTTTTTTGGTCTATTTAAAAAAAAATCAAAAAAGATTATAGATGATACCGATTGATCAAAATTGGACCGAGCCATTCCCGATCCTATCTTAGATTTACCGTCCAGTTTGAACCGGTTCCGAAATACCAGTTACTCCAGTTACTCTCCGAAACAAAAAAAATCAGGATTCCGGGAAAATTAATTCAACTCTTGAACCTGATCCAGCTCTACTTAATTACTATCAAAGAAACAATGTTACAATCACAACCCTTCACCCAAAAACACATTTCCATTCACAACTCAATAAATCAAAAACTCAATAAATCATACACTTTCATACGGATTTTTATTCATAGTAAGTACAATAAAAAAAATATTATTCACAGTTCACACTTCTTAAATACATTACTGGACATTTCCTAGAAGGGACTTCGATCACTTGCAATTCAAGGACAAAATGGAAAAGTATATAGACTTGAAATGTGAAGCAAAATGAAAACGAGTAAAATAAATACACGTGGATAGGATGCATGGAAAATTATGGTCGTGAAAAGTCTTGGGAACCAAAGACATAAGAAGGTTGGATTCTAGTTTGATAGTTGGGGCTGGTGAGCTGCACCGACTGCTACAGTGTTAGAACCAATAATAGCATTAAGTCAGCAGTTTGAAGCTGACATTCATTCTCCATCACAACCTAATCAACCAACCCTTGAACTTCCCAAACACTATATAATAAACCTCTCATAGCTCTTCTTCCCCACAATTCAAAGCCAAAATATTAACTACCATAGCTTTCGTCCGATCCCCCCGCCCCGAACAAACCGCCCCCCTAAGCGATGACCGGGAGCATTGCTAAACCGATCACCACCTTCTTCTTCTTGACCGGGAGCATTGCTAAACCGATCACCACCTTCTTCTTCTTCGCCGTTCTGATTTTATGTGCAAATGCAACTCTTCAGCGGCGTCAGTTTGTTGTATGCCATCATTTTTAAATATGCTTTTCTTTACTTATGTTCCATTTGCACAGAATAAGTAGTTTTTGACTTACTTAATCGAAAAGTGAGCGCCATCGAACGCTTTTCCTTTCAAAGAATCAGCAGATTCAGTCGTTTCAACTAAATAAACTCACAAAATATAATGTTCTCTTACCGGTTACTAATTTAGTTATGATGGGGATGTTGTGTAACAGATTCAATCAACGCCAGTGACGAGGCTATGCAATACCCGCAACACAATAACAGTGAATGGGCAGTTCCCGGGACCCACCTTGGATGTGAGCAATGGTGATACCTTAGAGATCAAGGTTATCAATAATGCGAGATACAATATCACTATTCACTGGTAGGTCTCCCAAATCTAAACAATTGTCTTTTTCAAACAATTTTTGTCCGGAAAAGGACTTATTTTTGTTCTAAAGAAGCCCGTTTTAAAAAAAGTAGATTCTACGTTATTCTTTAAGGTATCATACCTTTGTCCACATGGACCAATAAGAATGATGTAGTTGAATTATTTAAATTTAAATTAAAAATGATGTCATGATTTGAACCAATCAAGTGAGTGGTAGGTACGGTACCCCATTTTTTAAATGGGTACCGGAATTGTCACCTTTCAAAAAACGTCACAAACCAATTATATACGTAGGGTGATATATTTAGCCATATTGTCTATTTTTCGGCTTAACAGTCTTATCAACTAAAATAAGTAACTTTTGATATTACACACACTACAAAAAAATTCGTCTGTAGTCACGGACTTAGTCACGGACCGTAGTGCAAAAAATCCGTGACTAATGTGTGTAATATTAAAAATAAGTAAGGTTGAAGTTATTTTTTTGATTGAATAGGCTGGAGTTACGGTAGAGGATCAATTTAGTTACTTTGAATATAATATATTCTTTATTTTATTAATAAAGTATATATTAAATATAATTTTTTCATAATTCAGCAGAATCAATCAATCCAGCCACTTCAATCATAATTTCATTAATTTTATAGAAATTGCTCTAAATAGGAGCAAAAATATTTTGAAATTCCAAAATAGGAGTATCATATTTTTATTCCCTGAATAAGAGTAATCTGCTAAGTTTGGAAAAATGCCATATTTTAAAGCTTAGTAATGCCAAACTTGGCCGAAATTTACTCATATTCAAGGAATAAAAAACATGAGTCCTTTTTTTTGAATTTCAAAACTTTTTTACTCCTATTTAAGGAATTCTCCCTTAATTTTAATAAAATCAATCGATTCAGCCAAACAAAATTATGTTTAAACAAATATAGGAGTGTAGGATTCATTGTTTATAGACCTTATCCGTAAATGTGTTTTTCATCCATACAAATATAGGATACACCCTCATCCCAACTTAAACTTCTCATTTGCCTCTTTTGGACATCTCTACTGAAGCTTCTCAAAATATATATTGCCCTATTTAATTATTGTCTAAATAACTATCTAATTTAATGTGAAAGTTAAGCTGGAAGGGAGGTAGTGTTTGGTTCTTCGTCTTCATAAAGTAAATTGTTTAGGCCTAGGTTAAACAGATATAATTTTTTAGGGTGGCCAAGAAAATTGATTTTCATCCATGCAAAAAAACTTTACAACGATTTAAGACAAAAGAAATAAATAAACTATAAATTGTACCTTGACAAAACGTGTTTCTTTGTTGGAAGTATCAATTACATATGAGTAAATCTGCTAGTAATTCACAAATAAAGCAAATGAGCAAATTGTCTAATACTTTTCCCTTGTCATTATGTATAAAAAAAGGCATGGTGTCCGGCAAATAAGAACAGGATGGGCAGATGGGCCAGAATTCATTACACAGTGTCCAATTAGGCCAGGAGGGAGCTATACTTATAGATTCACAATTAACGGTCAAGAAGGAACACTTTGGTGGCACGCCCACAGCTCGTGGCTCAGGGCCACAGTCTATGGAGCTCTTATCATTCGTCCACGAGCGGGCGAGTTGTATCCATTTACCAAACCTACAAGAGAAACACCCATTATACTTGGTAATTATTGTGTTTGTTAAAACATTATTATAAATAACAAATCAACATATAAGATCTTGGACTAGTTCACAAAATAGTCAATCCAACTCATAGCCATTATATGTATCCCTAAAAAGATGGCACGAAAGTGTCTGATCATAAGAAAACACAACTTTTTTTTTGTCTTGAGGGGTTGTGTGCCCCTATGAAACATTTTTTTTTTAAAACAAGCAACTAAATGTTTGATAACAATGATATGATCAGGTGAGTGGTGGGATGCAGACCCCATGGATGTTGTAAAGCAGGCTCAAAGAACCGGAGCAGGTCCAAATGTATCAGATGCATTCACTATCAATGGCCAACCTGGTGATCTCTACAAGTGCTCCAGCCAAGGTAATAAAATTCATTTGTACCTTGAGGGCTTGTTTGGTTGATGGATTTCGAGATGATGTATGACTCGTGTACAATATTTTTATGTCTATTTGTTTTCTTAGATTATAAAGTAGATGCATCTTTGGTCAAATAATGTATTATATACAGAGTAGAAGTATTCTTCCCCACCATCTAAATGTAGGAATAAACTAATAATATCACCACCCCCTTCTAACCCTTTCTTAAACAAGGGGCCAGTCTCAAGTCCTTTCAATAAGTGGCTGGGACGGGGGGTACCACAGCCCAGTCATTCCATGTCAGGTCTAAGTACCCCTTTACACCTGGTAAAGATTCAACTGTTAACAATACAAAATTATGTGAGAAGTTAGTGTGTGTGAAGATGTGATGTGAATTAGATACTCCGTATGAAATATTACAATTTTGTTTTCCAATATACTTGACTTTGTAAAACTTTTTACTATAAGAAAATATATGAAGGAATGACATTGGATTTATCGTCAGTCACCCAAATGCATTATATTTTAGTGCTAATACTCTGTAGTATTTTATGTAATCAAGAGAGTAATAACTTTACCATTATCAATACAGGAACCGTAGTTGTCCAAGCAGGTTCTGGCGAGACCAACCTACTTAGAGTTATCAATGCTGCACTCAATCAACAGCTTTTCTTCTCGGTGGCCAACCACATACTCACAGTGGTTGGAGCAGACGCCTCTTATGTAAAGCCCTTTACAACTTCATCCATCATGCTGGGACCCGGTCAGACCACAGACGTGCTCATCACAACCAATCAGCCACCGGCACGTTACTACATGGCAGCAAGAGCATATGCCAGTGCACAAGGAGTAGCGTTTGATAACACCACAACCACAGCCATCCTACAGTACCAGGGAAGCCAAACGAGCCCAGTTTTACCGACCCTGCCAGCATATAATGACACAGCAACCGCCACAGCTTTCACAACAAGTTTCAGGAGTCTAAGGAACGTTGTGGTCCCCACGCAAATAGACGAAAACCTCTTCTTCACAGTCGGGTTGGGACTTAATAACTGCCCACCGGGCGCAAGTCCCCAGAGCTGTCAAGGACCTAACGGGACTCGGATCACTGCCAGCATGAACAATGTGTCTTTCATACTCCCATCCAACTTTTCACTACTGCAAGCACATCAACAAGGTATGGTTAGAGTTCAGGGTTATAGATCCAAACTACATGAAATAGGAGAAAAGGAAATAAAGGATATTGAAGTAGGGGAGAAATGGAATCTCTATTTGATTTCTGCCCATTTCATCTCTATTTCTATTTTACCAAACAAAATATAATCTACAACACTTATGTACTATTGCCCCCTTCTCAATTTCTTATTTACACGTTTCTGTCTTCTCTATTTGTTTTCCTAACCATAGGACACATAAAAGGTTGAATACAATTGATGAGCAATTCGAACAAAAGGTCCTTTGTAAACTCATATGCCTGCCTTTAATATTTTGATGTGGGACTTTCTTAACAGGCATCCCGGGAGTTTTCACGACTGACTTTCCAGCAGTTCCACCAGTGAAGTTTGACTACACCGGTAGCGTGCCCCGATCACTTTGGCAACCTGTTTCTGGAACAAAGGTGTACAAACTCAAATACGGGGCGAGGGTGCAGGTGGTGCTTCAGGGAACAAGTATCTTTGGAGCTGAGAATCACCCAATTCATCTTCATGGATATGACTTCTATATAATCGCTGAAGGTTTTGGAAACTTCAACCCACAAACAGACTCTGCTAAGTTTAACCTTGTGAACCCACCTCTTAGGAACACAGCGAGTGTGCCGGTCAATGGGTGGGCTGTCATCCGATTTGTCGCTGACAATCCAGGTGAACTTAACAATTTGAACTGTTTCTTTTTTATTTTTTTCTGCCTTTTGTTCTTCATAGTCCAGACGAACTTAACAATTGCAGGGAGGGATATAAAAGAATTGGTTCAAACACAACGAATCAATTTTAGATATTTATAAAACTCATGATACTAACACATTTCTATTACATAAAAGCTAAGAAACTTAATGTATCTATAAATTTTTAAAAATTTGATCAATTTGATTTTTCTCCATTTTTTCTAGGGCAAATCCATACAACAAATTTACATTTTCATTAGCTTTTTCCCGTTTTCCTAGTCATTTTCTTGGTTTCAATTACCAAACATTGGGTAATGGGTACGTTTCAACCCCAAAAAATTTTATGGGAAGAAAGGAAACTCTACGGAAAATTAGTTTTTAAGTTTTCTTTACCTCAAAAAATAGGTAAACCTTTAATAGTCTTTATATAATAGATAAGAATTTAACAACCAAAATGAATTTGAATGAAAATCTAAAATAAGCTTATTGAGCTTGAGTCTAGCTTTCAGTTTCCTCCAAATACCATTCCTTCCAATTCTCTTTCTTGTTTTTTCTCACACATTTCGGTTTCCAAACAGACCCCTAATGTTGATGATATGTATATGCATATATTTGAATACAACAGGAGTTTGGCTAATGCACTGTCACTTGGATGCCCACATTAACTGGGGTTTGGCCATGGCTTTCCTTGTGGAGAATGGAGTTACTGAATTGGAAGCATTAGAGGCTCCACCTCAAGATCTTCCGGTGTGCTGAGCATCAACCACTGAAATTCCAAGATCCTAGTCATTCCTAGATCTCCATAAATAATTCACATTTTCCTGCATTTATTTCCTTTTTTCTTAAATGGATAAGGGGTGAAAGAGTAAAAAATTAAAGCACTGCCCATTTCAATTATTATGTTGTATTTCATGATTGTAGTTTCTGTATTCTTTGTAGAATTATGAATTGAAGATTTCATCTTTTTGGGTTTAACGTTTACTTCATTTGCCAAAATATGCGTATACTAAACTCTGAAAAAGACATAAAGGTTAGTAAACCCTGAAAAGGACTTGTAGGTTGGTAGGTTACCTATACGTTTATTCAAGGAAAAAGAAATTGGAATCCAGACAGGTAAATGAGAAATGTTCTTCGCTTCCAAAGTGGATGAACTTCCAAAGAAGAAGGCAAAAAGACAAGCCGCCATTGTGGAAGAAACCAAGGATTCAATGAAATGAGAACTTAGAATCATTAATATTTTTTGGAAAGACTAAGACCCGTCGTACCTTCGGCGTAGACGGGTTTCGTTCCTCCAACTTCTTTCATAACAACGAATTGAAGCTTTAACTTACAGGGTTTAGCAATAGCAAAACAATTGAGTTCAGAGGGAGCGCAGATTATAACGCATAGGGTAGGCAAACAAACCAAACCGTACGGTTCAGTAGAATAACATCCACAATGCCACTTGTACTGTTGTACACATGTTTGTTGTCTGGATTGGTCTAATTTGGTCTGATCTAATCTGGTTTAAATTTATTTTAATTTGATTTGATATGATCAGAATTAGTCTAGTTTGGTCTAGGTAATGTCTGGTCTCTTTGTATTTTATAATTATCCAAATCTGGTCTGATCTGTTTAAGTTTGGTTTGGTTTGATTTGTTTAAACCCGATTTGATTTAGTCTGGTCTAATCTGATTTGATATCTGTGACTGAAAAGGATCGAAAAGAAAACCTCCATAGTGTACACAATCCCCACACCATATATAAACCCCTACTTTTTACCCCTCCCTCTCTCCCTCTCTTATTCATATGAAAACCTCATATTTCTTCTTCTTTTTCTACATTTTTCATCACCTTCATATCCAATTATCTACCATCACTCCTTATTGGTTACTTCTTCATCTTCACCATCTCCATCATCATCTATAGTTCTACCTCTATCTCTCTCACCCCATATTCATTATGTTTAATCTTCACCATCTTACATATCCATCACCTCATGATCTTTATCATTATCATCTTTGATGGCCGGTTGGAAAAAAATTTGACAGTCACTGGAAATTAGTCTCCGGAAAATTATAGATGAACAGTCACAGGAAAATTTGTCTATGTACAGACATTTCTTTTTTCCAATATTTGTGTACACAGATAAAATATTAAGCGCAGATAAAAAGTATATAAATTGTCAGTGTACAGACAACTAGACGTCTGTGTACAAACATTAGTTTGCGTGTTGTGTTGCAGAAATGCATGAGTTTGGTTGCATGGAAACCAACGTCTTTTCAGACACATTTAGGTATCTGTATCCAAACAATTTGTAAATTTTTTGTCTATGCTCAACAATTTTGTCTTCACACACAGATAAAATTGTTAAGTACCGATAAAATAATTTGTATGTGTACAAACAACTAAATGTCTGTGTACGGACATTTGGTTATGTGTTCTATGAAAGAATTGTCAGCATTTGTTTGCAAGAAAGTCGATGTCTATGCATAGACATTTAGTTTTCTATACACGGACAATTTGTAATTTTTTTGCTTGTGTTTAACAATTTTATCTTTGTACACAGACATTGAAAACAAGCAGCATCTATGCACAGACATTAAGTTGTCTGCACACAGACAATTTGTAAATTATTTGTTTGTTCTTAATATTTTGTCCCGGACACACAGACACTGAAAAAACCAGTGTCATGTACACACACACAAAATCCAGCGAATATTCACTCTAGTTTTCCGACGACTTTCAGAAGATATATTAATTTGATTTGTATCATGTCAAAGAAATATTTATAGGATCTATGAGGGACTAAAAAGCAACCAAAAATAGGAAAAAAATAGTTTGCATGGATTTGATATAAAGTGTTATATTTAAGCTTGTAAAAATTGTGTTGTGGAAATTTCAATGGAGGATCGAGAAATTGCATGAATCGTTATAACACTCTAGCCACGACCCTATATTGTTACTTTAATTTGGGTTATAATGAGAAACACGAATATACATAATGGTAAATAAAATATAAGATCATATGTTTTAAAATAATTGATGTTTATTGTGAACTAATTCCACTAAATTATAAATTTGCATTTGAAACGTGATTAATATTATAACGGGTTAGGAATGGATTTAGCACAGAACTTTAATTATCAAGGATTTGGCATTGACAATCTGTGCCAAAGTAAACTTGGAAGGGATTGTTGGCACTAATTTGGCATGGATTGACCGATTTTGGTCAAATTTTTGACAACATACATGACAAAGTCATTTTGTTATGATCTATTTGACACTGAGTTGTGTCAAAAAATGATGGAGTATATGGTCCAGTAACCCCCGACCCACATACTTTCACTACTACGAACATGACCAACGGGCCCAAATAGCTCAAACACAACAAACAAGACTCCGGACAGCCCATACTATAACAAGGTGTTGCCTTCGGCCCCATGCCCGAAGGATCCATATTCGGGAAACAGATACACGTGGTCCAGAAACATCACTGGGAACCAAGGCTAAAATGACAAGCCCCGACACGTGCAGCCTTTGGCACACAACGGTCCCCCAGGGACGTACGGCCTTCGGCACATGAAGGCCCCTGGGGTACGTACGGCCTTCAGCACATTATGGTCCTCCGCCTACGTACAGCCTCCAACACATGAAGGGCCCCGGGGTACATACGGCCTTCAGCACATGACGGTCCCGAGCTGCGTACGGTCTTCGGCAGATGAAGGCCTCCACGTACGGCCTTCGACACTACCCCGACAAGATCTCCTCCCAGCACGCTCCAGATCGCCGCATTGAATGCGGTACCACATGCTATGTTGGCGACACCCTGGTTGAGCTGACCCTCCATCGCTGGTTACTTACCACGTGTACCCGCACTTATTGGACCTCACATTTATGGCGGCTATAAATAGCAAACCCTTACTTCATTGTAACAGATCCGAGATCCCGATCGAACTTTTGAGCTCATTTAATACACACCTACTCTCTATCTCTTACTTGTTCTGACTTCTCTCCAGATAACCTTCAGCGGTATCCCCCGGATATACTATCCATCATTTGGTGCTCTCGTTGTGAAGTCGAACAATCAAGTAAGAACCCTCCCCTCCGAAAATCCAAAAAACACTCATGGCTTCCTACGTTCGTCCCCATGAGCTTGCTTCCTGCTTCCCGCCAGGATCTTGGTTTCCTGCCAAGGGGTGGGGACGTTCGTCCCCATGAGTTTGCCTCATGTGTCCTGCATGCTCCCTAGGCCAAGGTTCTGTGCATACGTCTTGATATTGGGCCTTGTTGGCCTGTTGGGGACGTACGTCCCCTGAAGTAGAGGCAAAGCATCTTCAGTTGCTTCCGAATTCCTTGGAGACGTTCGTATTGCCCTTAGCCGACGCTCCTGACGTGACGGTGGCTTCCTTGGCATGGTTTCTCAGCAATGGGTGGCGATGATCGTCCCCATGCATTGGCTTCCTGGTGTCCCGTGGTGCTTTCCAAGTTGCTGGGCCACTATGTCTCCTGACGTATGTGTCCTAATGCGCTGTTTGCCTGCTTAGATACCCCATGAGAGGAGGTCGTACGTCGTCATCGCTTACTGCCATCATCTTTGTGCAGGAGCCGAACGTCATCACTCTGAGGATATTTGTCCCCAGGCTGTTGGGCTTTGGGGACGGCCGTCTGGTGAGCCTCAGAGGTCAATGGGTCAGCCCTATTTGGGCCATTTACCTAATAAGTTACTATTATTATTTAATGTTACTATTATTATTATTATTATATGATAAGTCCGTATTATATTTAGATATGCATTTGATGCGTGTTGGGATCAGGTTTGATGGTTTTCCCTAGCTTTAAGGTGTTACAAGTCTCAATTTTAGCTCAAGTTATGTTTACCGGGCATTGGTTCGAGTTTTGTGTCATTTGGAGTCAAAATCAGGATTTTAGAGTTCGGCACTGGCGCTTGAGGAGAAATCGGGATGAGTTGAAAAACATTTGAGATTGATTTGAGAGCTATGGAGGTCAGCGGGAGGTTTACGATGAAGATTTGATGACAAAAGAGCTCTAGGATTGACTTCGGGATCAAAAGAAGATGAATGAAGCTTGAAAACGACGATCAGGATGACCTTCTGTCGATCGTTCAAGAATATCTCTTTGTATAAACAACTAATCGACATGATTCAAGTTGTATATGAAAGAAAACTTCAAGGGATACAAATCATATGAAGACACCATTACGATAATAGGAGAGCAAGAAGGTGAAAACAGATGACGAAGTCAGATGATCTCTGCTGCGATTTCAGAATGACACCTTCCATCGTTTTGATCATATCTCTTGATTGGATGATTAAAATCACATTCAGGAAGTTTTGGTGGATAGACGACTTCATTATCTAAAACTTTCATGCAGGAAGTTTTGTCAAATTCGGACTAGAAAAAAGGATGAAGAACATGAACGCACGACCGTGCGTCTGGGACGCACGATCGTGCGTAAGAGCCAAAACCGTGGAGGAGCTACTGCCTGCTACGCACGATCGTGCGTAGCCAGGGACGCACGATCGTGCGTAGCCCCGAGTTACGCGCGGAATTTTCCCACATCGACGAGAATTGTGATTTTTCCCCTCTTTTCTATAAATAAGGCCTCCCTAACCCTTTTTAGGGGTCACGAACATTACGGAGAGGCCTAGGGACG